GATTGGCTAATGTTTGCCAACACGAAAATGATCGAAAAATGCAGCTGATGACTTCAGTTGAATCTTTTTCAATTTCCCAGGCTAGCTAGAAAAGCAGCTTTATGCCTATGACTTAATATGGTGCAGTTCATGTATTCAGGCTATTCTGCAACAGATTAGTTTCTTGCTATTGCCTTTTGGATTGTTAATTTTCAGCTTATTCCATCATTTTCTCATCCCAATATACCAAGAACTTAAATTTATTTAATTGCAGTATATCTATCTAGATAAGTAATCTCAACGTGCATCTATGTATTATTATGACAAAAGTCATGAAACAACTAAGGTTTCTGGACTTCCATCTTCATAATTATTCCAGATATACAGACACTAGTTTCTCTTGTTTGATGTTGTCACATTGTCTAAGCTAATGCTTGAATATTGACTATGCATCCTTCATCTGTAGTGCAACTGTTTTTGGGGTTTCGACAGAGTCCATGCAGCTGTCATATGACTCTAGAGGGAATAGTGTGCCTACAATACTCTTGATGATGCAGAGACAGTTGTATGCCCAAGGAGGTTTGCAGGTACAATTCCTTTCTTCCAGTTCCATGCGTGCCAAATGAATTATAGTTCAAACCAACCATCTCCCAGGTGCAAGTATAGCATAATTTGACTGGTGTAGTGGCTCATCTTCTGGGCACAGTTTTTGGTTTGTTGATTGTATGAAAACTGGATGTCCATGTAAACTGAATTCAACAGATATTAAATCCTCAAACTGGATTGTGCAGGCAGAAGGGATTTTCAGAATTACTGCAGGTAACAGCCAGGAGGAGTATGTCAGGGACCAATTAAATGGGGGAGTGATCCCAGATGGCATAGACGTGCATTGCTTGGCAGGCCTTATAAAGGTACAGTGTGGCTTTTTGTTCATCACTTTCGTTCCATGAGATCATGTTCCATGCAAGCATGCAATCACAAGGTTGCCACCTACCGATTCTAATTTGCTTACCTGATTTTTTTTTTTATATATATATATGTATATAAATATATGTATATATTTGAAAGTGGTCTGAAATTCACCCCTGTGCACATCCTTTGATTTTCTGTGAACCGTGTTTGTCCTCCACAGTTGACAGATATTTTGCACTAATTCTAAGCATTGGTGATTCTGTAGGTTTGGTTTAGAGAACTTTGATATTTTGCACTAATTCTAAGCATTGGTGATTCTGTAGGTTTGGTTTAGAGAACTTTGATATTTTGCACTAATTCTAAGCATTGGTGATTCTGTAGGCTTGGTTTAGAGAACTTCCAACCAGTGTCCTTGACTCTCTTTCACCAGAGCAGGTAATGCAATGTCAGTCTGAAGAGGAATGTGCTCGGCTTGCAGGGCTTCTTCCCCCAACAGAAGCTGCTTTACTTGATTGGGCAGTAAACCTAATGGCTGATGTTGCGCAAATGGAACATCTGAACAAGATGAATGCACGCAATGTTGCTATGGTGTTTGCACCAAACATGACTCAAGTGAGTAAATATTTTATATTTTCCAAGATGGAAATACCAATAGCCAACTCCATGCAATACATTGTGAATTTTTAGCCTGTCCTAGACACCTGGTACAAGGCTTTGTTGGTGATACATGCATTCACCATCTTCCCTAAAGGATAATCATGTATTTGTCTTCTAATTGGAAAACTTATAGGACTCGTTAAAAATATACAAGTAGAATTACGACATGCAGGAACAAAATAGTCTGCTCATTTGGCATTCTGATGCTTCTGTACTCGCAAAGATCCACTTTTGACATGTGCCACTCCAGACCAATGCCAAAACCCTCTGTCAGACAACTGCAACTGTTATTTTTCTTCATTCAAATTTCTCACTGAATACTGTTGGTCTATAGCACATGTCTTTATGAAATACTCTATTTTCTTTTGGTCTAGTTGTCAAATATTCTCAGATAAAGTGTAGCCTTCGTAAATTTATAGTGCAATGACAGCCTGCTTCTTTAACTGCAGATGTCTGATCCTTTAACAGCTCTAATGTATGCTGTTCAAGTGATGAATTTTCTCAAGAATCTAATAATTAAGATGCTTAGAGAAAGAGATGAATCTGTGATCGATTCAGTTCCTGTTTCCCGCCTTGAGCCTACTGATGGAAATGGGAACCAGAGTGCTTCTCAACCATCTTGTGAGGAGGATGAAGATGCCACCGAGGAAAATGAATGGGAGAAAGCATTTGTTGCTGAAGAGCCTGCTTTTGAGAGCCCTTCTCAACCTGGTCAAGATGATTCTAGTGCGATGGATGGGTCTGCTGGTTTCTTAAGCTCTATAGAGAACATTCCTGGAGGAAGGTGGTCTCTGGTTGATAACTGTCCTTGTGAAGTTGTATCTCAAGTGAATGCCTTGAAAAATGAACACCATGAGGGTGGTCATACATATAAAACTGGAGGGGTCCAAACCAGAAGTTGCAAGAGCAGAACTGGTCAATCGAGTAATTCAACTCTCAAAAGAGGGTCCAAAAAGGTGAAGGAGCAGCTAATAGTTAGAGCAGCTGGACCTGTAGAGAAGGGGGAGGGAACTGTTATTGTAGGCCACATAAATCCAAAGACGGAACTGTTTGAAGCTTGGCGCTGAAGGGTTTGGCCTCCGTACCAGGCTGCCAGCTTGTGCTAGAGGCTGGGGGAATTTGGCGATCAATGAAACAAGTTGGCATTGTTGTGTGTGCTTTACTTTAGAAATGTCGTGTGTGATTTCCTGTGTGCTTTTGCAAGTGTTTCTGGGTTTTCATTAACCTTTCGCTGCTTCATGTTTATATTTCCTTGACCGGTTCTAACAGTCCTTTCATAGTACAGCTTCTGATCAAGTTGACATTCCCTATTCTACTATCTTGAACATTTCCAGCCTTGAGCTGCCTTGTCAAGTAGCTTTGCAAGTGGTAGAATCCCTACCAAATTACTATTACAACATTGCTGAAGTCTTTTCATAGCACAGCTTTCATTGAACCGGGATTGACGTCATCTTTGTTAGTAGATATTCTCACCCGCTGTTGACTCCCATTACTGCTGGTGGTTTCGTCGAAACTACAAAATATTAAAAAAATCGTTGCCGGATTAAGTTGCGGGGATTTTTGAAATAGATGCCTTGGCGGCAGTGAGTTGCAAGCGAGTTACAATGATGCCTTGGTGCTAATGAGTTGCAAGCCAGATGAAACTGAGTTACAAAACTCAAATTGTAAATTAATGGAATGCAATGGCTAAAAGTAGAATTCGCAGAAACTGAGTTGCAAAATTGATTTTGGTATTTCATTTTTGTCAATTCCATCTTCCTCTCTTCCTTCAGGACTCTCTGTGATTTCAACATCTAAGAGAATCATCAAACAAGGTTGCTAAAGGTTGAGCCCAGTTAGCTAGGGCTTGTGATGTCTTCGGAAGCCTGATGGAAGAAGTTCCACATGAACTGAGATATTTGATTGGTGCTGCTGTGCTCTAATTTTACTAATAAAACAGATTGTTATCAATTCGTAATGTTTGGGTTTTAATACTTTTTTTAAAATACTTTTTTTTTTGTTTTAATTATAAATGTAATATGTAACATATAATCGGAGGAACTTAATGCATTTATTAATAATATAATGCTCCATTAATAAAATATTATTTATTAGTGTTTGTCTCTCCAAAGTTAATTGCAATCACGTCTGTCTATTGATAAAAACAGATGTCTTGATTTTGGTATCATTTGGTTATTTTCACACTTCTAGTTAGTTATTAAAGAATTAATTAAGGATACATGTTTTTTCTTAATTATTTTAAACACAGTAAAATAATTTAATTTTTTTTTAAATTAAAATTCATCAAACTTGCAAGCATGCCTAATAATTTTTTTTAATTTTTTAAATGCAATAAAATAACAACTTTATTTTTAGAATCAAAAAATTTTAAATCATGTATTCAAGCATAGTTTTGAAATTCGGTTTGGTTTTGCGGATCAACTCGGGAACTGGCCTACTCGAGGTTGGAACCAGGCTAGGTTAAAAAAAAAATAAAGGAAGAAAAAACTAGATGTAACCCAGTGGATTGACCTGACAAGATCTAGTTAGAAACTCGGTTGCAATTCATTAATTTTTATTTTTGTAACTAAAATAATATTATTTTGATTAAAAAAATTAAGTCGATGACCTGGTCAAAATCCAATGATGTGGTTAAAACTTGAAATCTAGATCTTGAACCTAGCCGAATGTAAAACTATGCATTTGAGGATGTTTTGATTTTTTCACTTTTGGTCTTTTGGCATTACTATTCACTAAATAATTTATTTTCACTTATGATCTTTTGATATTATTGAATTTATTAAATAATAGTTTAATTTATAGATAATTATCAAAAGTTATTTTTTTAATAAATAATTTATAAAATAATAGTTCAACTTATAAATATATTTAGTAAGTAAACATTGCTCGAAATTAGAGAAAATTGCAATGTCAATGCCCTGAGTTCCTAACCTTTTATTTTACTTATTTAAGTGATTCATCTTTGATCCATTTTTCTTTATATCGAGACTGTTTAAATATTATCTCTCTCAAAATCATTGAGAAAAAAATAAAAAAAATAAAAAAAATATAAAAATATGGTAGAAATTAAAAAAAAATAAAAAACAAATGGAAACAATAATAATCTTTTTTTTTTTTTTGAAAATGATGTAAATACGCAAGATTTTGCAACATTCCCAAACTTTGAGTTAACATATAATTCACCAACTATCTATGAAGGCGAGCATAGTATGGATAAAACTAATTTTTTATGTATTTTATACTTGTATTTTTTATTCTTAATAATTTTAAGTAAGACCCACTTCTTACAACATGGTGGTATAAATTGATCATGTTTCAGTTGATTCTAAGTGTGTGTTTAATATTGTGTTATATATATATAAAGAAAGTTAATCACTCAAATGGGTAAATTAAAAACCCTAACCACATCCTTCTCAAACACTAAAAAAGCGAAACTTCTTTCTTTTTCTCACAACAACCACAGGCCATGGGTGGAAATGGCAAACATAAATGAAAGGTTTCTTTATATTCTCGCTCAAAATCTGCAAAACCCCAACAACAACAACCACCTCCTAGAGAATTCCTTAATCCCATTTATGGATCCTCAATGCCCGACCTTGTTGTTGTCTCCTATAGCCACACCTTCGAGTGGCTTTCAGTCCAAGTTTACGGCTATTTAGGCTTTGCCCCTACCCTCGAAGACGACACCCTACCTGATTTTACCACAATAAACCCCAAATAGTAATAGAGGAAGAAGGAGAGATTCATTTTGCTTTGTTTGGTCTACATGTTAAATTTGTGAGCGTTTGGATGATCCAAAGAAAGCGTGTATGATAAAAGCCTTAAATGTCTTTTTATATGTTAAATGAAATATAATGGAAAATTAGAATTATTTTTTTGAAGCTGTTGTGACACCCGTTTAAGGATGTAAGTTTATGATTCAACACAAAAATAGTAAAATAAGAGCATCTCCGTCAAAATAAAACACTTGCTCCTCATATAAATTTCCTTTTGTTTTCGCCGTCGCATCTCCACCGAAGTACCAAGCACCAAACATTCTGGACTGGTTCCTTCCAGCAACCATAACAGACAACAGAGACGGTCTCTATCTCTAAATTTTGAATCTTGGAAAACAGCTAGCCACGAAGCAGCTCGCATGTTCTCTTTTATGCAAAAGATGCTTAGATTTCAAAGGAGTTTCTCTGTTTCCCCCTGCCCTACACTTCCCTTACAGCTTCCATCTCCAATGTAAGTTTTCACGTATTTTATTGTCTTTTTGGTTCTCCCCCTGGATGCCCATTTGAACTTAATGATTGCTTATGTTGTTTTTTATTCTTTTAGGGAAACCCATCTTTGGTTTGTTGTACCTGATGAATTCAAGAGCGTGTCTCTTTTGAATCAATACATGGAACTTCTATCTCCATGTGAGAAAGAAAATGTTTTGAGTATGCGTGGAGAGCAGCTCCAGAAAAGTGCCTTGCTTGCTCGTACTTTGGTTCGCACTACTATTGCAAGATGTAAGTTTTATGTCAGCTATTCCTCTTTTAGTTCAGTTTTACATATTTGACCAATACCCTTTTCCTTACTTTAAAGTTTTGATTTTTCATTAACGTTATGTAAATGAATGGATAAGTGGGCTTTGGAATTTGGATTTAGTAGTGATTTCAGTAGGTGTTTGATGAGATGAATCTTTCAAATTTGGATTGGTTTGCTGGTGACCGTGTTGTTTTCATTGATGCTACTTTTGCTGGTTGCTCCTGTAAACTAAAGAAAATCCGACACGATATGAATTGTACTTACAAAACTCTTGCTCGCAGCGGCACTTTAACATTTATCTAATGCACATCTTAAAAACAGATGTTATTTTGCTGGATGTAGTAATTGAGCACTTTTTAGAATTCATTGTAGTAGTAGTAGTTGAACAGATATGTTTTGTCTGGCAGTTTAGTGTTCTTGATTCTGCAGATAGGCAATCTAATGCGATTTGGTTTGAAAAGAGAATAAATAACGAGTCCAGGAACTGGAATGATCTATTCTTATGAATCTTATGAAATCGTGAATAAAAATCTCGAGGATCCAATTCAGAGTCGAGCTAAAAAAATTGAAAGCATCTCTTTGCTAGGCTTGATTATCTCAATATGTGGCAGTGCTACACTGTTTGTAGCATTTGTGCTTCAAGATTCTGTTGGCTACACCATTATAGGGTAAAAAATGCAGCATTTCTTAGAGACCTGAACTGCTTGTTTGTTCTTCTTGCAATGGACCCATTTCAGATAATAACATGGTTGGTCTGGGTCTGCTCAAGTCCTGCAGTAATTAAGGAGAAAGATTAGACAAGGGATCATGAAATCTCTTAGAGTAATGAGCTGGATCATCCACTTTTCAGGGGGGGGGGCATAGATCTGAGATCTCACTTTCACTTCTTGTTTTTTATTAAACTTGGGGGATCTTTTGTAGGAGGGTGGCAGTTTTAAAACCTCCATATCATATTTTATGATGATGTATATTTTGCGGATTTTTTTGAATGATGTTGTTTTATTACTAGATCAGATAAATAATCGTGTTGTTGATCCAAGATCTTTGAAGTTCAAGAGGAATGTTCATGGAAAGCCTGAGGTTAGTTTTCATTTGTTAATTCAGAAAGGTGCTATTTTTTTTTCTCATTATTTACTTGTGGAATGTGTTTCTTTACCTTTTTAGTTGAAGCTCAATTTCATTTCTTATACTACTTACTGGCTTTCACGGTGTAGCTAGAGTGGGAAAGTGATGGTGGTCAGTGTCCTTCACCATTACACTTCAATATCTCACATACGTCGTCCTTGATAGCTTGTGGAGTGACTCTGAATTCATCGGTGTGTACTCTGATTATTTTTATTCTTTTTAGTATATTTTCAGTTAATGTGATGCCCAAGGTGACCTGGCTGCTCTCATGTAAGTTTCTTCTGATTTGTAATAAATTGATTAGAGACTGTTTTAATTTGTGATTTCTAGATTGGAATTGATATAGAAGAGAAGCAACGCAAGATTAAAAACAATATCTTATCTTTTGCACGGCGTTACTTCTCTCTCCATGAAGTGGAACATTTAAGTGCTATTTCAGACTCTGAAGTTCAGCGCCAGGAATTTGTAAAGTTATGGACTCTCAAGGTGAGCATGGTGCTATTTCATTCTAAAATTATGTGTTATTTTACATGTCAAGCTATAAACTTGGCATATTTTATTCATCTTTTGGCTATTGTCCTGTAGAAACTGCTAGAATGCACTCTTGAATTGTTACATTATTCTGCAAGATTGTTGCGAGTCTGTCTATGATACTTGTGAAAATTGAAATTGCCAAGATGCATGAAATATTTTGTGTTTTCTTCCTTGGATTTATGCATGATTCTTTGTTAAACTTCATTACTGTTTTTTCCTTGCTTCCGTGCCTGGCAGTAAAGTCTGCCTCCATGCCAATTTATTAGGACCATAGATATTAAGATTTCTAACGGTCCAACATGCTTTCCCTCTTGTTTATCCATCTGCTCTCCTTTTGGATGCTGATATATGGCAAGGAAATATGAAAGTTATATCTACCATGTTCCAGTTCAATTCAATAAACATTTTTCCTATCAGATAGTCTGTATAAGTTTCAGTTGGTTTAACAGAAGGGTGTGAAGGTTAATTAAACAGTTAGATAATGGAATGCACTCCTTCTGTATTTCTAGACTAGCTACAGGTCACTACAGTTACACTCGAATTATTGATATCAAATAAACCTGTCCACTTAACTGTAGAAACCTGTATATATTTGAATCAATTCCGTGTGTATGTATCAATGTAACCTGATTTAAAATCTCTTGTTAAAAAAGATATAAGCTAAGTGACTTCAGTGCTTGACTGAGTTCAGCATGTGTTCTGTTTCAAGTTCATTTTCAATCTAAAAGCTCTAGATGCTGCCAAAAAACAATTTCTCATTGAAGTTACTGGCCAAATATACTCTCTTCAAGCCTCTCATTGGTGAATCTTATTTGTAGGAGGCATATGTGAAAGCTTTGGGAAGAGGCTTCTCTGCGGCACCTTTCAAGACTTTCACCATTCGCATAAAGAATGCCTTTAGGAGGGGCTTTGATCATGCTGATGATATAGAATCTGGGGTATGCCATAAAATTCTAAATTTCTTTGAGAAAGCACTGATGCAAATTAGAAATGTATGCAAAGAAATTAACATATTTTGAAGTGTGTGATCAAGAGAAATTCTATGGTGCTCAAGCTTTAACTACCGACAAGCATAGGAGAGAGATAGACACAATGAGAGAGAAAATCACATTTGAACCCTTTAAAAGTGATAAGAGTATCTCTTCTAAAAAAAATATTTGAATTAAAAAATAATAATTTTTTAGAGAGATATTATTATCACTTTTACTGGATTCGAATGTGATTTACTCTCTCCTTGCGTCTATCTCTTAGTATAGGTAGTTATAGCTTGAGCATCATAGTATTTGTCTGTGATCGAGAGACCCATGTCCATGGGAACACATTGCTGGACTCTATGACTTGTAAGCAGATGGCTAATGTTAAGGAAATGAACCATTTATCAAGTTTAGTGAGCTCATCTCTGTGCTTTGAGATTTATGCATCAAATAAAGAAAGGTTACCTGGAAAGCGATTCTCGAGTTGTAAAGCAGATAGCTTAGGAAGCCCTTTTATTTTTGCCCCCTGTAAGCTCCTTAAGTTGTCTATCATGTATGGTCACTTTTAAAATGCTAATTCTTTAAAGATTATACAAACAAAATAGAACACAGTGTGTCAACATTAGATGGTCTGCCCTTTTTTCCTAATATTTCTGATCTAGTTTGTACATCTTCCTGACCTTTTTATTGTTGCCTTTTTTTTTTAGTATCGGTGATCTTCTTAAGCAAGCCAATGATTAATGGTTCTTTCAAACTTTGCAATCAGGCATCTGAAGTAGTTGTTGAATCTTCTGATCACCATGAGAGGTTCACAAACAACTGGCAATTTGGACTCTTTGAACTGGCCAGTTCTCATTATGCTGCCGTTTGCATGGAAAAAGATAAAACAAGGGATGCTGGGGTGAGTGGTCCAATGAGATTGACTGTACGGAAAACCATTCCATTCGTTGAAGATGAGTGCATTTCTGGAACTGATGCAGTAGTACCTCTTGCAGGCTTGATCGAGCAATTTTGATCATATACTTCCATTTTTCTCATATTATTATTTTTATTTGGCATTGCATGCGCATTGTGGCATATTATATAATCAGAAAAAAAAAATTGATTCGTTTATAAAGTAGTGACCTTTCATACGTAGTAAAGATACAAGACATTTGTACTGATCTTTCGTAAATTATAAAGTCATTTGATTTGTACTCTAATTCTGTTCTTTATAACCCTTGTTTTACATCAGACGCCTATCCAATGTATAAATGAGTGTTATGTGAAGCAATCTTTGGATTCTAATTTTCACGACAAAACACTAAAAAGAGGTTACTATGACTCTTGAGACTGAATTGTGGGAAGTTGATGAAGAGGAGAGGATAGAGGATAGGTGAAGAGATGATAGAAGAATGATTAGACAATAGTAAATAGTGGCACGATATATTGTATGTGCAGCACCTCCATTCACTGTATTTGTTAGATAAAAATCACCGAACTGGATTAACTAACGTCCAATTTTTTCAAACAATTGATGCTGAAGAGTGGAAAATCCAGGCTCCAGAGACCATCTAAGAAGTATTAAATGAAAGCAAGAGAGGCTACAGAATTCTTAACCTTCCTATGATCAGGAATCAACAATGAATGACCAATGAGAAAGAAACAAAATGCAGTTTTAACTTCCACCACTCATAACATTAGAAATTTGAATTAGTGCTGATCAAAGTTCCTCATTGGAGCCAGTGGGTTAGCCCAGATTGTAGGCATCCCACCCTGCGTGTGCAAGGTCACCAGTAATCCTGGCAGCATTACAAATTTGAGCACGACCTACAAATTTACAAGAAACTTGAATTAGTGCTGACCAAAGCTCGTCATTGGAGCACGTGGGTTAGCTAGGATTGAAAGCATGTTGCAAGGCACCCGAGGTTTGGGCTCGCATCCCTTCTGTCGAGGGCCATGCGCTCTTCTTCTTAACAGCAACGCCCAACTCAGCCACTTGCCTGTGGGCAGTATTTCGAACTACTTGAAATTCTCTATTAATGCAACTAGCCTTGTTCCAGCAATTAAACTGCGATCACTGATGAATGACCTGATCTTCTAACTAGTTATAAGTTACCAGAATGCAGACTAATGTCTTAAGAAATCAATCCCAGTAACCTTTCATCAATGATAATTTGCAGAATAAAGCCTGTGGCTGACAGGCAAAGATATTTGAGAAAATAGTACAACCAGACAAGCAAACCTAATGTTGAGTATCCAACGTTGCAGAATCAAACCAACCCTGACCTTTTTAATTGCACACTGTCCTGGTTTATCGAGAAAGAATTGTTGTTGGGTTCTTGTAACCTGTGCCCAGAAAAATCCTTGTTTTTGCTGTGTTTGACTTGGCTCTACAAATATAAAAACCTCAAGTGAATACTACTACCAGTACTCTTTGCAAGAACAGAATCCATTCTTGAAATGGTGAAAGCGGGTTGCATCTCTGACAACAAATTGACGATCCACAATCTTGCTAACCAATTTTATGAACAAGTGACAATCTCCGCATATCCTAAGATTTTTTATTATAATAATCTCTGTTTCTTTCCTGGTGTTTAAGAGTGCAAATGCAACAGCCAACTTTTCGCTATGCACACCCATACTATTAAGATATTCTTCTCTTCTCTCATGATCATTCTTCTTACATCCATCAAGGTCCTTCACCAAATTTTCTAACTCATTCAACTTTTTGTATATTTCATTTGTTTGAGGATGATTTCTATCTCCAGCAAAGAAAAGGTGAACTCTCCCTTTAAATTCTACATAACTACACCCTGGATCCTTTTTGAGCTTCCGCTCCCTCATCAACATCCGAACTCTCAGTATCCCCTCCAAATTCCCTGCCTCAGTATATATATTAGATAACAAAACATAGTAGCCAGTATTTGTAGGTTCAAGCTCAATTACCTGCTCAAAAGCCAACTCTGCTAACTCTACATTTCTGTGGATTTTACAAGCACCCAAAAGGGCCCCCCATAATGCACCATCAGCTCTCACTTGCATAGACTCAATAAGCTCCCGAGCCTCATTGAGCCGACCTGCACGTCCTAAAAGATCCACCATACAAGAGTAATGCTCTGCACCAGGCCGCAACCCATACTTCCTCTCCATGACATCTAAATAATCCAACCCTTTGTTAGTCAATCCTGCATGACTACATGCAGACAAAACACTTACAAAAGCTGTGCCATCAGGTTTAATTCCACCCCTAATCATCTCATCAAAAAGCTCCACCGCAACCTCTCCTTGTCCATGCATTCCATACCCACCTATGATTGCCGTCCATGAAACTACACTTTTCACTGGCATGCCATCAAATATATCCCTAGCCTTTTTCAAATTACCACATCTCGCATACATATTAATCAAAGCATTATTCAAAAACGGATTCGAGCTAAACCCAAAACTCTCCATTTTCCTCTCCACCTCCTTACCTACACTAAGTGCACCAAGATGAGAACAAGAAGAAAGAACCCCAACAAGTGTTAAAGGGTCAGGACAAAACCCTTTCGATTCCATCTCCTTATAAAGTTCCAAAACATTGTTAGCAAATCCGTTTTGCGCATACCCATTAATCATTGCATTCCAAGTGATCAACCCTTTCCGCGGCATCTCATTAAACAGCTTCCTTCCACGATCAATTTCCCCACTTTTCACATACATTGTAAGCAAGGAATTCCCAACAGATGAATCCATATCCAAACCAAACTTCACACAAAAACCATGAACACACATCCCCAATCCCAAATTCCCCGGGATCCCACAAGGCTGAACCAAACCCAACATCGTAACCCCATTAATTTCCACGCCCAATTCCCTCATTTCACAAAACAACACGACCACATCTTTAACTCTAGAATTCAATGCATAACCAGATAACAAAGAATTGTAACAAACGGTTAATCTTCTCGATTGAGGATTTTCATCAAACAATTTGCGTGCATGATCGATCAAGCTGCACTTACCGTACATAGAAATCAAAGAGGTTTGTACAAAAGGTTCTAATAAGCACCCGGTTTTAAAGACGTGACAATGGAGCTGTTTTCCCGTGATAGGGAGAGAAAGCGCGGCACAGGATTTGATAGCGAATGGGAAAGTGAAGGCGTTTGGCGATGCCCCAGAGCGGAGCATGTGGAGGTATAGAGAGAGAGCTTTGTTGAAAAGGGATTTGTTTGCTGCTTCTCTTAGAAGGGTGTTCCATTGAGGGTTCTTTGTTGTGGTTGATTGGAGATGGTGATATAGTTTGGTCTTCATAGTCATGACATCGCATGATGAAGATACTAAAAACGGTCGTGAAAGGAGCCGTTTTGACGAGGGAGAACGAGAGGGGAAGGAAAACGGCTAAATTCCGGTTGGTTCGGGCGGGTAGAAATATTACATTGCACTACAAAATACAAAGTACAAACATCGGTTTTTACTGTTCCAACTTTGCAAATCATTAAGCTAAGGCCACCTCTCTTTTCTTTCTCTACTATTCATTTGGCGCAAAAAGTTTCACTTTGATCCTTAACTTTTTTATTTTTTTCATTTTTGATTCTTGTGTTTTAAAAGTTTAGCTTTTCAACCTAAACTTTGTTTATTTTGCATTTTATTCTCTAAAATTTAAAAGGAGAGAAAGTTAACAGCAAATTAAAAAAAAAAAAAAGTGATTGATCAATCATATTTCATAACAAAAAAAAATGATATTGATGTTAATAGGTTTTTCTTAATGAGAGGAGAGTTATTAAAGTGTTTTTGAGCTTATATCTCACTTAAGAAAATAAAATAGGTTAAATAAAAAAAATTACATTTTAATATTATGTTTTTAGATCAATTTAAATGTATTTTAGGGTTAGAAATTGGTTATTAAGCTTCTTAAAGTGTTTAACAAGTATTTTCATATGATAATTAAATGAAAAATGACTTTTTAGCCTTCTTTTTAAAGGAAAAAAACTGGACGAGCAGTCGACGTATTGGCCTGGTCTTATAGGCCCCACACATTAGGCTTTTATATGTTGGGTCAAGCATATGGCTAGTCTTTTAAACGTAGATACCTAACCTTTTTTTATATATTTTTAAATAATGTTTTAATAAAATAAGTTGTGAATAAAATACCTAACATGATATTTGAACTATTGTTCAATTTTGGAATAGTTTTTAAATAAGGTATGGATTTTTACGAGAATGTTAACAATTTTTTTTTTCCAATTATTGTATGTTCAATATGCAAAAATAGAATTAAAACATTATTCATGCATAATCAATGAAGATAGAATTTATGTTTTGTTATATTTTTAATAAAAAATTTACATGATTTTGTCACATTAATTAAATATTTTGCCTTCAATGTATTTCAAAAGACAAGGTTTTTAAATTGATAGGAATCACAGAGAGACTAAAAAATATATTCAATCTCTATCAACAATAATAATACCATTATAAAATTTACCTAAATATCACTTTGAACAAACAGAAATAGAAACATTAAGGATAATGATCAAGTGAAAACAAAAATATGTAGGAAACATACATATAGAAAACATCCAGGATAATGAAATATAAGCATCACAGATGATAAAGAAACAAAAAAAAGAAACATTACATATAAAGAACATAAATATGCATAAGATAAGAAAGAAATATAAGAAGAAACATTATAAATAAAGGATAGAAACATGAATAAAAAAATAAAAAAATAAGTAGAAAAATTGCAAATAAAACACACGCACATATATATAAATAAAGAAATATAAGTAGAAATGTTGTAGATAAAAAAAATAAACATGCATAAAAAGAGATGGGTATACACCTAAGTTAGAAAACTAAAGTTTGGGTTGGACAATTTAGTTTATAGAGTTTCTAGACTTCTATTTGCTTTTTAGTGTTTTTTATACCTTTTAATTATTCTCTCTAATCATATGATCTTTTTTATACTAAACTCCATCTCACTAGGTCTTTTTCATTATTTCTTTTTTGTTGTTTATGTTACTTTTATATTCTCTCCTTATTACTTTCTCCTTTTTATTTATCTCTCTCTCATTGCCTTATTTATTTTCTAATTCTTACTCTAATCATGTATGTTTTAACTATTAGTACAACTCCATTTGAAATGAAGAAACTAAGATAAAAAAAAAAAAACAATTCATGCTTTTCAAACCCTAGAATGATTGAGGTTAAGTCCTCATGGTTCAAATGGTGAAGACAAAAATTGGTTACCCTAGAAAAGGGTCAGGACAAGGTCTTTAATGGCTTGGTAAAATTATCATGTAATTTAATCATTGTGAGGATGGTATAGTAAAAAAGGTTAAGACATGAAAGCTCTTTCATAGCTATAGAAAAGATAATTGATGCTAAAATCAAGGTAAACATTGCTAGTGAAAATGATAATCTTACAAGGAACAACGACCATGCAACATGAAAAAGTATTTGATAAGGCAAGGGAGAGGAAACAATAGGTTATACATAGTTAGGATTTGCATAAATAAAGGGAAGAAGAAAAAGGAGGTAAAAATACCCGGGAACTAAAATGAAAATGTCTGAAATGTTTAAAGGGATATATGTATTTTTCACTTTAATCCTTTCTTACCTCTAACTCGTGCAATTAAGGACATGTCAAACCAAATCATAAGATTTCTTCTCAATTAGGTTTTTGGATGAAACATAAAACACATTTAAAATATTTGTTTTTTACTTTTCAATCCTTAGTTCTTTAATTCCTTTAATTTTAGTCAAATCAATTACCTAACTTAATTTCTTTTCTTTAATTAAATCCTTGACTGAATAAATAGGACCTCTCGAGTCATGCCAACTTGTCATTTTGATCTTTGATATTTTAATTCTTTCAATTTAGCGAAATTCAACATTTTCCTTTAATTTTTTTTCAAATACACCCTTTAAATGTATTCCTAATCAATTCTGAAATAACTTTTTCTATTCAACTTTTAAAAAGTTTGATTTGAGAATAATTTTTAAATTTTTCTTCAAATATATGTTGTTGAAGGTATTTATCTTTAACCAAATATATTTGTTTTTGAAAAAAAGAATAAAGGGGTAAAAAAAGGTTATGAAAACTTAGTTTTTTACTTTGAATTTGATACTTCAAAATTTAGTTAATTTTAGGTTAGGGTTAATGATTTGACTTAGTTAGCTTAGTAAGGATTTCCCACAATGTTTAAAAAAGTTTTTGATATTATATTGAAGCTTGATTATGTAAAATTAAATTAAATTTAATTGATTAAATATAATTAGAATTGTGAGGAAAATAAAATTAACATTGAAACAAATTCACATACTTTTTTTTTCTTGATTTAGCATAGCTGAGGTGTGTTTTAAGCACTTTTATTCCTCATATTATTTTTTCTTCATTTGTTTACAATTTTAAATACTATTTTATAAGGTTTTTTTTATTTTGATCCATGACTTAACTTTCTTCACATTTTGACCTTGAAAGAGGAGAGAGAGAGTTGGTGGAAAATGAAAAGGAAAAAGAGCTTGATTAGTATAATTTTGATTAAAAATAGAAAAACTTGGTATTAAAGTGTTTCTTTTAATAATAAGAGTGACACTGAGGTGTTTTTAGACTTTTATATGATCTAAAATAATTGATCATAGTGAATAAAGAGTTTTTTACTTGTTTGATTTTGTGTTTTAGACTATTTTTTAGATTGATAAAATAATTTTATTTTTGTTCTAGGGTGTTACAAGATGAATGTGTTGAAAAATAGGTTTTTAGACAAAAAAAACCCATTAATTTTTTGATCACCTTTAAAGTCCCTAGTTTATAGGTTGGTGAGGCAATAAGTCATTTTCAAATATAAATGACATGTCACTTATTTTTTTAAAAAAAATAGACAGACAAGAAAAAAATTAATCCAGATATGCAATCTTACCCCAAGCACGTACAAGTGAGTGTTTTATTTTAAGGTCCAAGCATGCTAACCAACCCATGCTCAACCTATTTTTTTGTCCTGTTACTCTCTCTTTTTTCTAGTTACTTTTTTTTTATCAATTTAATCCTTTCACATTTAGTTAATTTAATGTTAGAGTTGATGATAGTTAATTTCATGAAGCTTTCTTGAGATTGTTAAAAAAATTATTTTTTTAATTTCATTCTTAAACATTGAGTTTTTCTTTATTTTTTTTTTCATTTATATCCTTTAACATTTGATTAAATGAGAATTCAATTTCACAATTTATTTTGATTTGTTTTTTATAAGGTTATTGCAGTCTCAAATAAATATCCTGATATTAGATTGATGCTCAATTTTATAAGCGTTATTATTTATGTTATAAGAATATTTTTTAATAAAAAATGATTCTACAACATAAAGACAATAACCATATATTTCTTATAAAAATAATTAAGCATCTGATTTAATAATATGATGATTTTGATAAGATTTTATTAATTTTACAATGTAATAACATTTATATTTGTTTTTTTAAATAATTTTTAGTGTTTTGGTTGTCAAAATAAAATTTTGATGGGAAAATCACATCAAGTCTCATATAGTTTGTTCATTTTTTTCATTTTGCCTTCATTTTTAATAAAACTACACTTTGTTTATGTTATTGGTAAACTCAAAATTTAAAATAAGATAAAAATAAATAAATTTATTATAATATATAATACAGCACAAACACATTAACTACATGTCTATCTAGTGTATACAAATTTGGGTTCTCCATTAAAACTCTTTTTTTTTTTTATGTTTAGTTAAAATGTTTTGATTGGAACTTGATTTTTTAAAGAGTTTATTTTCTCCCACAGCAGCATTCGAGGGAGAGTCAATTGATTTTATGTTAATGGAATCTTGATGTTTGCCATGGAAAGAGAGTTACATTATAACTTATCAATATCAAAACAAAACTAGGTATGTTTTATTTGAATTGAATTTACCATAGTTGCAATGAAAGTAGTAAATGAGGTTTGACTTTCACTCTCTTTTTATTTCTTGCTTAGGTTTTTTATAAATTTGTTTTTTTTCTTGTACTATTTACTAAAATAAGAGTGTTTTTAGTTTAGAATCAAATATTTTAATTTTTATATATATATATTTTAAGTTTCTGTTTCACTTTTAGAAATCATTGATGACTTATTTATTTAAAAAAATAATTATCAACTTATTTAATTAGATTAGTGCTTAAGTTTTTATATTTATACTTAAAATTTTTGTAAAAAAAATTTGCATATTGTTTTTTAAAAAACAATTATACAATAAGTGGCAAAGAGTGGGTCAAATAACTAATACTAATTATTCATAGTTTTTATTTTAAAACAATTATAATTTATTAATATGTTTTAAAAATTAAATTAAATTAAGTAATTATATATTTTCAACTTTTATATAAAACTATTCAAACTTAAAAAACCAAATTACTAAAAATAATTACATATAAATAATTCAAAAAAATATATTAGAGATTATAAAAAAAAATA